TACAGTGACACATCTGTATATGATCGTTCTAATTCGTGAATACCAAAGGACCGAGCTGTGCATGGAACGAATCAATATTGAACTTTGCTGAGGATGAGATGAATATTTCTTGAACGGGAAAATTAGTTACCATATGTTATCGGTGAGTCGATTATTTTTCAATTATTATTTAACAGATGCGACCAAGCTCGGCATTGTACTAATTGGGCATTTTTTGAGCTGAAGCATTTAAAAATGGCATTTCAGATCATGCAAATGTTTTCCCGTCAACTTACCTCAGCGTTAGCTCATAAAACACGCGTTGGACGCTTCTCTTTGGCAGTCCTGGCATTGTCTGCTTGTATTTTATTCGGGACACAAAAACATTATTGGACAAACTTATCCACCGTGAAAGAAAATCCAGTTTTCAAAGCAATTACGGGCACGAGTGATGTCAGGAAATCTGCCAAAGTCGATGAGCCCCCTCCGTTTATTATTCTCATGGCGCAATGGCGTTTTGGATCTACTGCACTTGGAGAGCTTTTCAACCAGAATCAAGAACTCTTCTACATCTTCGAATCACTCTGGCCAACTACAGAATTAAGAAAATTAAAGAATGTAACGCAGAACACTCCGGAAAACAAAGAAATGGCCAGAGATATACTTCGCGGTTTCGCCAAGTGCGATTTCAAAACGGACTATGTGAAGATTTTAAGTAATTGGGATGGTTCTGCTAATTCTGGCCATAACAGAGGACTCTGTTTAAACAGTAAATCTTGCAGAATGCACTCAGCAAGCGTTCTCGGGGACTTTTGCAAAGAATTTAAAGGTAGACTAGCCACAAAGATCCTCCACGCCGATCTAGACCTTCTGAAGCCGCTGGTGGTTGAGGACGGTATCAATCTCAAAATTATCCACCTTGTTCGGGATCCCCGTGGAGCTACCTCGTCCAGAATAGAGTACCTGAACTTCAATTATCCGCGAAATGTGGCTAAAGCACGGCCTTTCTTCCCGAACTTGGGCCGCCTTAAACCGCTTGGTCTTCTTGATGATATTCCAGAGTACATGCTTCCCGTTCAAGAGATAAACGATAACAACCCTACAGTTCGAGGGTTGTGCCAGTGGATCAGGGAGAACACGAAGAGATCATCCGACCCATTGCCTCCATGGTTACAAGGACGATACCATCTTGTTATTTACGAGGACTTCGCCAAAGCCCCTTTGACAGAGGCTGAAAAGATTTACAACTTTATCGGGATGCCACTCAAACCAGAACTCAAGAAGTTTGTCCACAACATGACTAAATCAAACTCCAGTGACACATCTATATTTTCAACTTCAAAGGATGCGCACAAAACAGCCAATAAGTGGATGAAGTACTTGACAGTTATGGAAGAGAGACAAATCGTAAAGGAGTGCCTGGATGTCCTGCAACTCCTGGGATACGAACCGAATCGCACCAGGATTCTTCCAGAGAGTTGATGGTTAATTTCACTCGGAAACAGGGTAAATGATATTGTCCAACAAAGCGCCAAAGCTCTGCAGGAATGTAAGGAGGACTTTATACACATAATTGTTTTGATATTATTGATATTACATGAGTATTTAAAATCCTTTTGCATCCAAGCCAATTTTATCTCTTCCAAAATGCATTGATAACGCCTTTACCTTGCGGTGACAAAGCGCTGCACACAGGGCTTCTGAGCATCAGATGCGGCGCTCCCCGTTGAGGGGTTGGGCAAGAACGAACTGTGCTCCTTTTAGAATATAATCGTGCTCATTTTCAACGCTATAATGTCCCTTCTCTATGTAGGTCATTTTAATATAAAGAGTGTGCCATCTTTACACTGACAGGGGGGGGGGGGGGGGTAGTGAGCACTAATTTTTTTCTTCTTCTTCATTTTGCCCCCCGAAATTTGCCAAAAGTGCCGACCAATATTTCGGGGGGGGGGGGGGTGGGGGGTAGAAAGCACTAACAATTTTTTTTTTGCCCCCGACAAAAAAATAGAAATGTTTTACTTTTTTGTCAGCCCAAGGTGGGGGTAGGGGTGGGGGGTGGGGTTAAAACCCCTAACCACCCCCTAGATCCGCCCCTTGGGAGGATAAAGAATGAAATATGGTACATTTAAAAAAGCAATATCCATACCATACCGCTGCAAAATCGAAGTGACATCATGCAGACCCTGATTGTGGCAAATCAGTGTTTTATTGTTTTTGTGTTGTGTGTATTTGTTTTATATTTGAAGGCTTAACTTGTCCACTCCTTTCGCTTTCGTTTGTCTTTTGTGATCCAGTCGAAACGGGTTTTTTGAAGTCTGGCAACAATACTCGTGTCAACCTAGATCCCGAGGGTGTTTCATCAATCCTTAAAATTGATCTTTTATTTGATCCGATCAACTTTAAGGGCCTAAAATTGATTTCGATTTAAGGCCCTGTTTCATCAATCAAATAAAAATCAAAGTTTAGCTTAAAATTGATTTGATGGAACAGCTCACAAGTATAAATTTTAAGCTAAAATTGTTTAAGCCTTAATATTCATTTGTAAAGATCAATATCAAATTTAGTTGATGAAACACCCCTCGACTAATATACTCGATATGCTATGTAGAATGTAAATCATTAAAGAGAAGTTTCATTGATTTTAAAAACTAACTTTGTTGTCATTATTGCAAAGGTGAAACTTTGATTGGAGAAGGTTATCAAAATTCAATGTTTGGAAACATTCGAAGTAATGATGATCAACAATTACAAAACGCTTAGATACAGCCCCGGCATAGCACCTGAACAGCTCTCCGATCACTGCTGAGATGTGTGACGTCACATGTTGAACATGATGTGCACTTGCTCGACGATGTCCGATCTCACACACTTTCAGTGCCTGTTTTGTCATCTTTTCTTCAGTTATTTCTCTTACTTCACTTCCCTCAGGCGAAATGTTTAATCTATTGCCTCACTCTACCCTGTGCATGGTATTATTTTGATGAAAAATGCAAGGATAAGGAAAGAAAAGCTAGGTTGACCCCCCTGGCTCCCGGTCTAGGACCCCCCAGGAAATGAAGGAGGGGTCTGAAAAATTGAATCCCATCATTTTTGGCCAATTGGGACCCTTTTGAAGCCAAAACAGCAACAACAAAAAAAAATCAACTTTGGCACAAAAATCCTACGGGATTACATACCATACCGCACTATATGTTTTGTGCACTGTGTTTTACTATATGCTTGCAACATGTACGATTGTGTAATGCAGATTCCTTTTGGAGTTAGATTCTATTCGTTGGATTTATGTGCAGCTGTTAACCAGCCTATTGTCTTGGACAATAGGCTATGGCTTCTATCATGGAATCCACCTTGAGAATTCCTTTTGTTCTGGTTTTACTTCTTTTATTGGGATCACCTCAGGCATTCAAGCTACAAACACCAACTTGCCATTGTCAGATCGACGTATGTTTAAATATCATGGACCTATTATGACTAATGAATGAATAAATAAATAAATTGATGCAGATGACGCAAATATTTGTTTTAATTCAAGATTTTTTAATTAAGACCATATCGAGACTTAACAAAGAGAATGTATATAATACCTATATGTAAAACATGTACAGAAATAAACACCAGTTGAAGATATATACCGACATACAGTAGTAAGAATCATCCAAGTTCCTGTAAATGATTGATGATGATTGTGATTTTATTGTCCGAGGAGCAGTCTGAATATTTACCCTTAATATTTCTGCTGAAAACAAAAAAAAAACACAGTCGAATACAGTTATACAAGAAACAATGATTTACTAGACGTCTCATGCACATATTATGACTTATCTAGCTTCTAAATTCTTACGAGCGAGTGAGAGAAAAATAAAGCGTATTTAGATAGCATTGACTGTTTGTGTTCTATATACATTGATCATTTCAATAATTATCTATCCTTATATTAGGTATATACTTTTAGATTAGATAATAACTGAAAGAGACCATCGGCTGCTTCTATAAAGGCCTATAGGTGACGATGGCTCGTCCCTTTCTCGTCTCTGTTGGCATCCCCCTTTCCCCCTATTTTGTAGTTCCCTTTGTAGAACTTTACGGACTTTTTAATTACTCATTATTCCTAAGTATCATTTGAGGTGTTCACACTTGTACAAGAATGGCTTTTTAGAAGACCCCTCTGTTTTCAACATGTATTTCTACGTTTATTTTAAATGTTTTTAATTGATGTTTAATGTTTTATTGTAACATGAATAAATTGAAATTGAAATTGAAAAAATTAAGAACTTTCTTATTTTGAATGCGGGTCTTTGCTCAAACTTTCACTGACCTGCTCCTCTCATTTTTCTACTTCTATAAAAATCAAATTATATCAGGGTGGACTTTTCCTTTAAAATGTCATAAGACAGGGCTAATGGAATAGGAAAATACAAAATAAATTGTAAACATTTCTATTGCATCTATCCCTTCTTATCTCTTTATTTACCATGAATCATCAACCCCCGCCCCCCCCCCCCTGGATCCGCCACTGCTTTTAGGTGATTACGAAGCATGGATGATTGATTGCTCGAGGGATTGATTGCTCGAGGGTTGATGCTGTGCAATAAAAGGATGTAGATTTACTCCCCACAGGGTGTGGAATCGATCATATAGGGTATAAAATTCAACCCCACGGGTGTAAATTTGAACCCATTTTTCATGAAAATGGAACCAAAAGGTGTTTATTAAGCACCATTGGTTGCAAATTTCACTCCTTAAAGGGAGTAAAATCATAACCATGGGGTGCAAATTTACACCTTCTTGTGGGATGTTAATTTACTCCCTACATTGGGGAGTAGATTTACTCCCTGAGGGGTGTCACTTATGCGACAAGCATTTACTTCCTATAGGGAGTAAATTTACACCTCTTTTTCTCTGTGTGTACTATGGGCTTCAAATCGTTCCAAAGACATCTTGTGTGTGATTTCTATGAACACCCTGACAGAAAGGTATATATCTTTTCTTATTTTTTCAAGAAGGCACACATTAGACATGCATCAAACTGTAGAGCTTGATTGTGTTGTTCTGTTCACTGAACCTGCGTCGTGAAGAAGGGCTTTGAGCCATTCCGATGGATGAGGAATATTGTGAAACCTGCATGTAAACATGCTTCTGAAGACGACCTTGAAGCAGGGATGACGCGCTGCGTAAATCATAGGGTTCAAACAGTTAGGGAGAAGCACAAGACCGGCTAGATAGGCTGTGTGTAATCCAAGGTGTGGTGAATACAGATTCAGTGCGAAAGGCAAAACACAGATGAAGAAGACTACCACAACAAGAGCCAAATTTTTGGTGATATTGATCTGTTTGACGCTTGGGCCCTTTCGCGATGACTGCTGGTTGGTTCTGCCATTGATTGCCAGGTTGTCATTGGATTCTCTCAGCCTGCTGCGTGTGTTGATGACATGTCCCCGGACAAAACGGTAGATTGCAATGTAGCAGAAGAATATGATGAAGGTACAACCAGTAAAGATGATCGAGGCTATACTTTGAAAGACGATAGCTAAAGGATGTTCCAAATCCCACATACAGGATCTGAAGTTGGGAGCATACACTATCCCACCCGTTGCGGGAATCAGCTGAGGCATCACCAGAACTAGGAACGGAAACAGCCACACAAGTGCTACCATGAAGGCATTTCCACGGTGTGTGTAGATCTTCTGTTGTACTCTCTTACCCTTGGTGATGATAATGTAACGGTTGACTGCAATTGCAGTTAAAGTCAGGATGCTGGTTGGGTTAGACCAGATGAATATCGTTCCCAGCAGATCACACATCCCTTTCCCAAAAGGCCATCCAGACTCAGAGAGCACTGATATGCCTTGGAATGGCAGAGAGACAGATGAGATGAAATCAGATATAGAGAGACTCACCACAAAAACATTTGTGGAGTTCTGGAGGTCCTTGGAGAGAGAGACGGCCAGGAGCACCAATAAGTTACCTATCATACCAAGTATTCCTATGGTGATCCCCAAAGAGGCGATGATTGTAGCATCTGTTTGACTGGTGTAGATCAAGGGTATGGTTGGTTCTGCAGTGGTAGTGACATTCAACGTGCTCCCTTTTATGTCTGTTGTCAAGAAATCCATGATGATTCACATGCAGGCTGGTTTCCTTAAAACAAAAATGTACACCAAAAAATACGTCAAATTACAAATTACAACAAAATTGTTAAGAGTGATTCAAATATTTTGTATATTTTGTATATTGAAAACATTCTAAAACATACATTTATGTTTCTTGAGTCAATCGTTCGAAATATTTTCTCTCTTACCCATTCGTGAGTAAAGATGCTTGCCGCAACACAAATCTATTTTCCTTTTTCCCCAGCTAGAATTAGAAATGTTTTAGAGTCTTTAAAACATTTCAGTATGATGTTGTCTAGTGGACATTCACTGTATACATTTCATCACAGGCTTTAAGTATGTAAGTAGCTTTGGTAGGACACTCTGTATGACTTCTGAATGCCTCAGTATTACTTAATTGGTGGGTAGGAAGAAAATTACTCACAATGCTCGACTGCAATCTGTGTCGTTCTTCCTGTGTATGTCCTACATATCCTACACATCCGATAAAAAAAAAACTGCATCTAGAACAGGAACTGCTTTTTGATTGGTCCTCCCAACTATCGGAAGTGTCCGACCATCATGTAAAATTCGCTCTTGAAATATATTTGTATAGCTGTTAGGTATGAATAGTGTCAAGTATTTTGCTAAAATGGCATTACATCTGATTGAATTGACCTTGATATTCATACCCGCAGGAAAACACATCCTGTTCATATCCTGTTATGTCACTATTATAACCTCAGTTTCCTGTCTTTCCTATCCTATGTATTTCACTTTGTAAGCAACGTGGACAGTATGGCATGCATTGTAATTCTATATAGTACAATTCTGTAGATCGGTTTTCTTTCGATACGAGCACATGAAATCACAAGTGATGTTGGCTTGTTTTATTAGTTTTCATTCCATGTTTTCGTATTAGAATAGTGTCTTTAGTGGATCTTTTGAGATCTTTGAAGCATTTTACATTTTGGTCACAATGCGTTCAATAACCACTGGTGTATACGAATATGGGGGGGGGGGGGGTATCACATTTGAGTTTTAACACATCTATTCAAGGCGAGCCGAATATCTCGCAAAAATAGCAGATATCTATTTATTATGAAGTTGACAAGACTCGAGATCGCGCCTGAGCGTCATATTCTGACGCTAAAATTATTTCGATCCCGTCCCCAATTCTACTGAGAGTTGTTTACCAAATCATACACGCAACACAACTCACAAGCGAGATGAAGGCTATACAGGCTCTCAGTTGATTATTATTTCGTGCTGCCAGTCTTGGCTGTAAAATGTAATTTTAGTGTGTCATGCCAATCGGGTTACTCTTAATATTGAGCGTCGTTCAGATATGACACAACGAAATCGCAGCGTTTTTTGTCTGTCTTCTTTTCTTCTTCTGAATATATACATAACAACGAAAAAATGTAATGCACTTCAAATTGCTCAGTGAATACACGAAAGTCCTATATGGCCCGCAGTTGCCATTCATTTACATGGCGGCTTTCATTTTTGCGGTGCTTCACCGCGCCATATCTGAACAAGTGTTAGGCTAGTACACAGATGAGACAATAAAGATGATTCAATTCAACTCAATTAAGTTTATTTCACTTCTATTTAAAAACCTAAAATAACAATGACATTTCACAATATTATACATCGTCTTAGTCTGAATAAATTAATTTCGTCCTGTCTCCGATAAGAGGTGTCGCTACAACTTTTACATCTTCCACCTTTTTTCTCTCCACGAAGTTGAATTTATTGACTTTTGCACATACGATCATTTTTAATTCAACACTTCCAACAAACCAACCATATTAACCTTGACATTAATGTTTGCGTGAAATTCCTAAAATGTCAATTTAAAAGTTTCAGTAGTTTTAAACACAGAGCAAACTGAAAATGCTAATTAATAACAAAAAAATACACTTTGGCTCAAGAAAATGATGAATTGTTCGATTACCAAGTCAACGTAAATAACAAAAAATATATTTCTAAGTTATGAAATAGAACAAAACCTAGTCATCTGAATCTGGTATTGAAGCACTTCTTCAAAAGTCATCGTCTCAAACTCTCTTCAACCACTCTGAAAATTCCCTACCTTTCCCCTATTTCCTTTTGTTAAATTGTTGATAACAAAGAAAAAGTGCGACTAATGATTAAATGACAATGTATCCCTACTTATTAGGTTTATGAAATGCACACATTGCTGAATTCACAGCATACTTGATACCAAGCGCGTAGCCAGGATTTCATTTTAGGGGGGGGGGGGCAGTAGTGTGCACGCAAAGCGTGAGAATAACTTAAAGAGCGCGCTCCCTAGGGAGGTTGGTGCAAGGAGGGGGGAGCTTTGAAAGAAGACGATTCGTTGTACCTTTCTCGACTCATAATCCTTGTCTGAATTCAGTCCACCCCTCCTGCGCATAGCGCGGAAGCTTTGACGTATTATTAGACAAAAAAGACGATTCGTTGTACCTTTCTCGACCCTTAATCCTTATCTGTATTCAGTCCCCTCACGCGCGAAGCGCGGAAGTTTTGACCTTTCATTATTTATTAGAGAAAGAAGACGATCCGATGTACCGTTCTCGACTCTTAATCCTTATCTGAATTCAGTTTCCTCCCCTCCCGCGCAAAGCGCGGAAACTTTGAAGTTTCATTAAATTATTAGAGAAAGAAGGCGACTCAAAGTACCGTTCTCGACTCCCGCCACCCCCCCCCCCTCAGTGTTATTTAGGGTACGCATATACTTGTTCCCTCTTTTTGATACCACCCCCTATCTGAGGACTGCCACCATTTCCGAACCCCCCTTTCGCTGGCTTTTTGCGGGCTTTTCCTGCCTTGGAGACCCCCCCCCCCTAAATTCGGATAAATGCTCAATGTACCCCCCTAAATTCGGAATAATTTCTCAGGAGTCCAAAGAGATGAGAGAAAAAAGAAAAAACACCCCCTTTTTAAAGAAATCTCCAGGTGAAAAATCAAATACACCCCCCCTTTTTACAATTTTCGGGCCGGCCGCTTTGTCGCACGAAAAGTACCCCTTTACCGGATATTTTGGCAACACGCATGCAGTCATTCCCACCCCGGAGTGGGGGGGGGGGGGGGGTGGGTCTCGACTCTTAATCCTTGTCTGAATTCAGTACCTCCCCCCCTTCTGCGCGAAGCGCGGAAGCTTTGACATATTACTAGACAAAGAAAACGATTCGTTGTACCTTTCCCGACCCTTAATCCTTATCTGTATTCAGTCCCCCTCTTTCGAAGCGCGGAAGCTTTGACGTTTCATTAAATTATTCGAGAAAGAAGACGATTTTTTGTTACCTTTCGACTCTTAATCCTCAATTTGAACTCAATTTCCCCCGTTTCGCGCGAAGCGCGGAAGCTTCGACGTTTCATTAAATTATTAGAGAAAGAAGACGATTCGTTGTACCGTTCTCGACTCCTTTCCCTTTTTCTTCCTACGTCCTTTTACTTTTTTTCTTCTCTTTCTCTCTCTTTTTTGTTTTTTGGCCGGCGTTTTTTTTTTTTTTTTTTTTTTTTGGGGGGGGGGGGGCTACCACCCCCACCGCCCCTCCCTGGCTACGCGCCTGCTTGATACATGTATGATAATTACATCAAACTACTACTGTTAAAGTACTTTCAACCTAACCAAATATTAACTGCTGTCGTATCTCCAGCGTAGTGAAATAAGTATTAGTCAAGTGCTGAATGTTTAGTACAATGGGCGAGTATATACAATGCAATTATTTTCAGCAGTCGCATAAACGTTTAGACACATTGAAAACAAATACTAATGTCCTTTGCTTTATATTTGGACACATGGTAATACAAGGCATGCAATCAATAATAACAATAATAATAGTAGGCTAATAACTGTTTCTTTAAAAAGCGCTTTAACAGATGGTACCAAAGAGCGTACAATATCAATATCACCCCGGTTATTGGATTCAACTACTATTCCCCACATAAGTGGGTACATTCTCCACTCCCTGGGGAGCATTCTAGCTGGTCCCCTTTTGGCCTTCGTTTATCCTACCGGCTAGCCATTTAACACCTGGGTACAGAGGAGCAATGTAGATAACAAATGCCTTGCTCGAGAACATAACTGTCGCCAAACAATTTTTGAGCGTCAAGTAACGCCTGGCTGGAATGCTCCCCAGGGTGTGGAGATTGTGCACACACTGTGTGTGTGGGCAAGTATTGAATCCAATGACCGGGGTAATAGTATATTTGTAAAGCGTTTTAGATGTATTAAGCGCAATATAAAAGCAGAATATTAGCATTATTACGACACCTCTACAAATCAAACATTACATTTTATTTTACTTTAGATTTCAAGATAAAGAAAAATTTAATCAATCTACAAAACTATCATGAAAGTCCATTCGTATTGGAAAAACGTAAAACTAGTAAAACTTTTGATCTCAATTCAAAATCTTTACCTCCGAAATATTCAACTGTCTTCGTCACCAATGCGACCCGAATTAATTAACCTTTCTGACGTAATTGGCAAACAAACTATACCGTTCGTCAGAATCTAATACAAATATAATCTCAAACATTTGGCAGACAATGACTGTATCGTATCTTCTGTTATCAATAAACATTATCATATTGAGTAATTGTAAATCGCTTTGGACATGTATATAGAATAAGCGGTATAAAAATGCATTATAAGTAGTAGTATTAGTAGTAGTAGTAGTAGATACGTGACACAGAAGAAACATTATTTACACATACATATTGCACTCTATTAATTGAATAACTGGAAAGCCACTTAAGTACAGTACCCCGAATACCATCATATTGCATGTTTTGTAATAATATTTGATGACTTATAGATCTACCATCAAATGCCTTGGTTAGATCTAAAAATATACCAGTAACAACGTTTTTTTTTAAATCTTCAAATGGTTTAGCAATAATATTTATAAAATCCAAAAGAGCCATATATGTAAATGGACGACTATACTGAACTAGTTTTCAAAGATTTTTGAGAAAGTAGATACATTTGTTTATCTCATTGTTTGTACAAATAAATCACCTAAGCCTTCTTGAGAGCAGTAGGAATGACACCAACTTGTAAATATATGTTGAATAAATTACAAAGCGGTATAACAAAATATGTAGCAATAGATTTCTTTAGAACGGCAATATTAACGTCATAATATCCTGGGGTTTTACATGATTAATTTTTTTTTAACGATTTCAAATATTTTCGACATCTCAACTGGTTTCATAAATATAGACTTTGAAAAGTCCCTTTTAGGTAAAAAAAAATGCAAGAAATCAACGGAGGCATCATATCAGGGATAGTATTTACAGTGTCCCTACCAATAGTGCTCAAAAAGTTATTAAATGCAAAAAAAATCAACGGAGGCATCAGGAATAGTATTTACAGTGCCCCTACCAATAGTGCTCAAAAAGTTATTAAATGCAAAAAATCAACGGAGGCATCAGGGATAGTATTTACAGTGTCCCTACCAATAGTGCTCAAAAATGTATTAAATGCTTG